AGGTAATTTATACGCATGTATATACGTGGAGAGAACAAACATACACTGACATACACAATTATTCAGAAAACCTGAAGTCAAGGAGAAATTTGGGTTATCCGGGTCAAAGTTAAGGGCTGAGTAGCTTAAACACATGCTAATAAGTTGTGAAGGCGAGGACTGAATTCAGCTGGCTCAAGATAGGGTCAGTAGACCTCTCTTGTGAACACGGTATAAAACAAGAAGCACCGTGCATTTTTGTTTTCCTTTTTGAGAAATTGCATTTAAATCGATTTTGTATGCTGTGGTTTGGCCGAAGCGTGAATTATAGAGAACCGAACAAATTACTCCATTCTACTGCCACTCTGAAGAAGTTTAATCCTACCTCTCAGCCTCTCTATGCTATTTTCTGTCTTCCGTATCATCGTTTCACTCCATCTCTCTCTTCACAAGTTTCATCTTCACTTGCCAGCTATGTCAGCACTGATGACGAAAACATCAATTACTTTACCTGACACTGGAGTCGAGGCCTACAAAATTGCAGAGGGATGTACTAGAAACCAGACTCTGCCATTCACCAGAGAATGGGTAATTCAATCACAGAACTCAACCTTGTTTCAGACTCATGATGTCACTGGAATCCGAGCTCCTTTACTGACGTCCCTCCGGAAAGTTCTGAACTAACCAAAGTTCACTAGACTTAACTTGAAAACAAAACTATGACACTTGAAGAACAACCAGATTTCCAGCGAAATTTCTCTTTCGCACTGACTTGTAATAAAATTCAAAACACGATACGTCAACGGCTAATAAACTGAGGCATCATATCTCATGTATCATCTCTTACAGGACGTTGCAGAAGTTATATATTAAAACGCCTTGACTTCTTACTGAGAGTTCTCAGTTCTTCGCAATATTTTCCCGAAAAGTTAAGAAAGCTTACAAGTACAATACGACGGTGTCTCAACTTCCCTTCGAATGAAATACCTTTTAAGAAAACGTGTTTTTTAAACCTTCTTTCTTCCCTCTTTCCTTCTTTCCTTGACATTTCTCTCGTCTTCACCGCTCATTTCCTTACTTTCCCCCTTACATAAAACAATACTTTGATTTCATTGTACACTTTCTCATTGTTACTATATGCACTGCCATTGGATTTGTCGGCTTAGTTCAGCCAGTAAAATGACTGAGTAAAGAACGGACGAGCCACGTCCGATGGCCGGCATTGACAGGGACTATTATCATAGACATCACGCCGAGATAGACTCTCGTACGAACCCAATATACCCCACAGCCTAGTGACAGTTCTTTCTCCAAGGAAGGACGGCTGAAACGCAAAGGCTACTGTTCATCTACATGTAAAGCAGAGGTTAAGAATGCAAAGAGCCTCACTTTAACGCCACAATACGTCTTCTTGATTTGACGATTAAGCATAGAAAAACTCGACCATTATCTTTAAGATTCGCTTTACANGGAAAAATCAGGTACTGACGGCCGGCCTCGTTGGCTGAACGGGGCTGATAGCACACACCAGTACCGGTAGGGTATGGCGACAGTAGAAATTAAAGGGGGACGGACAATGGACCAATAACTGGTCTAAGTGCATGGGGAAACAAAACCCCTCTAATAATAACAATAATAATAATAAAATACAAAAATCAATAACAATTCGCTAGCTGTTTCCGAAATTATACTACACGAATACGACCAATACAGGACGAAATAGGCAGTAGAACGGATTTGAAATGAGTATTAAACACGGAGAATTATGTTGATGACTCATAGGAAAGTAAAATGAAATTTTACTTATAAATTAAGATACAAATTATTTTATCAAAAGTACAACATACTCTCGAGTCTCAAAGGCTCCATCTTTGAAACCGATATCGTCTTCACCGTGAGTTCCAAGCTGAGTGTCTGAGAACCGAATTGGATTACTACAACCAATTGTCGAGCTCCGCAACTGAGTCAACTAATGACAAAATTGTTGCCATTCTTTAGGGAGACATGCTGTACGAGCATGGACCTTGTCACTAAGGTTTCATCATCAGAGAATGGCAGGCCAGTAAGGTACACCTCTCTATTTTTTTGTTCCAGTCCCTGAAATGTAAATGCCTTTGTCCAGCATTTCATTAGAATATAACCGTGATTATGAATTGAACAAGCTTACGCTCTCAGAGATCTGTGCTATATTTTAAACTTTCAATTCTAGTTGCTCTGTTTGAACGGGACAATATTAATTCAGAATTCCATATTACAGATTTTGCAAACTGCGCCCTGGATATTCGAATTCCACAATTACGGTAACATATACCTTTGAAATATGTTAAACCCCTGAATTTTATAGAACCACAATCGAAAGCCGATCAATCAATTCTTGCCAGGACATGCATTTGGGCTCACACCCACATAACTAGTGCGCAGACTCGAGTCCAGCAAATTACAAAGTATTAGGGTCCTATGAACATCAGTCCCAGTGACTCGTATCGGTCTCTTATATGATATGATGTATAGGAATTTATTTTGGGATGTTTTGAAAGAATTCGGACCGAAGAGAAATGAAGTGACAGGAGGCTGGAGGAAACTGCATAATGACGAGCTTCATAACTTGTACTCTTCTCCAAGTATAATTAGAATGATCAAGTCAAGGAGGATAAGATGGGCAGGGAATGTAGCACGAATGGGACAGAAAATGAATTCATATAGGATACTGGTGGGAAAGCCAGATGGAAAGAGACCACTGGAAAGACCAAGGCGTAGGTGGGTGGACAATATTAAAATGGATTTTAGGGAGATAGAATGGGATAGTATGGATTGAACTGATCTGGCTCAGCATAGTGACCAATGGAGGGCCCTTGTGAACACGGTAATGAACTTACGGGTTCCATAAAATGCTGGAAGTTCTTGAGTAACTGCACAATTGACGGCTTCTCAAGAAGGACTCAGATCCTTGAGTGATGTTTTGAAATATAAATAAACAAAAGTACGTGCATTTTATTACAACACTTACAAAGCAAATATACTGTTCACGTTTAAGATGTTCCTTTCAACATTTTTCAATGTAGGGACACTTTCATGTCTTCTTTTGGCCTTTATAATTAAAGACATTTTCAATTCTGAGCCTAGGTAACGGGAATTATCAGATGATAGAAATATGACAAGCTGAAAAAGGAAAGGAAAAGTCGTGCCTGATTGAGACATCTTGCCCGAATTTGTTCCAAGAGATTGAACAAAACTATAAATATCCTCAGGCAGGATAACCGTTGTCTCAGCTGAGATTCAAACAGAGCACGTCCAAAATAAAGTCTAGAACGTTACCTTTAGATCAGCCTGTTCGGGGTTTCAAATCGTTTCTGCCACTCGAGAGAAAGACCAAAGCTGTAATTCATCACGATTCTTCGAGAGACACTTATCTTGAATTCCTCCTGAATTTCATTGTATCCTCACTAACGTTAGTCGAGTTCCTGAACGATTTTCAACATAAACCTTAAAATCAGATTACCACGCTGACATGCATGCATGTCTGTTAACTTCTCACCAATATAATGTTCACTATAATCATAATGACTTACTTCCTTCAACGATACGCACCTAAACTCAGAAAACGATATATATTTTTTTTTCTGTGGCGCTACAGCCCCAATTTGGGCCTAGGCCTACCTCCATGAAACTCTCCGTTTCACTTCGGTTTACTAGATCTTACACATACGGTAGGTCTCCTTCGGCGAGTGATCAGCTCGCCGCGAGGCCTCTACCTGCAGACAAACACAGAAAAACGCACACAAACATCCATGCCCTGAGTGGGATTCGAACCCACGATCCCGGCTACCGAGCGAGCGAAGACAATGCATGCCTTAGACCGCTCGGCTACCGTGACCGGCCAGAAAACGATATAGCCTCCTTGATTGAAGCATATACAGACTCTTTGTGTCTGTGTGGTTAATACTGGATAAGCTAGTCTAAGAACGTGGTCACAATAAATGAAATATTAACTAAAAACTTTTCCACAAACATTCTCAGAAGAATAAAGTACAAGACATTCTCAGAAGAAAGAAAACTTTGGTATGCATGAGTAATGAAAGCAATAAAACAATACAATTTTCGAGACTACGGTATTGGCATTACTGATTGCACTGGTTTATGAATTCCACCTTTGAGAAGACCAGAGGTGGTATGATATACGTACCAAGTTTCATAAAGACTGGTTCTGACTTTCAGGTTATATTAAGGTTATTACTTCGACAGTTTGATAGGCTGCAGTGTTGGTATTACTGATGGTAGGATTTACGATGTATGTCTCTGAGATGAACTCATACGGCATGACACATATGTACCAAGTTTCATGGCGATCGATTCAGGAATTCAAGTAACATTAAGGGCATTACTTCTTCAATCTAATAGGCTGTAGTGCTGGTACTACTAATGGGAGTGATTTGTTAAGTATACCGCTAGATTGGTTTCAGATGGCAGGATATACATGCCAGGTCTCATAATGATCGATTCAGGCGTTCGACTACAGCAATTCGAGAGGATACAGTGTTGGTATTTCTGATGAGAAGGATTTATGATGCACTATGTTGAGATGGCTTCATGTAGTACGTCACACTTATGTAGTTTTATTGAAATTTTTTTCAAATGGTAATCTCGTTAATTCGCGTCTTTTTTATGAAAATTGGTTGAAAAAAACGTAAAAAGGGCCCTATTCAGGTAGCATGATATACATACCAAATTTCATTCAGATTGGTTCAGGTGTACAAAATTTTTTTTGGTGGGGGGGAGGGTGTTATCCCTATACATACGTACACACACATACACATACACATACACACACACATATACAGAGCAAGGTGCTCTCAAAAGTCTAAATGTATTTTTTTTTTCAAAATAAGAGGAGTGGGCTAAAAGTGAAAATAACAATACAGTAACTCTCAGTTAATCTGACTTTCAATAAATGTTGAGTTAACTTCGGATTAAGTTCATAGCTGAGATCGTTTCATTTATGCAATTATCCGTTCAGTACTTACCTTTGACCCAAACAGGACTCGCAGGAGGGTTCGAGTCCACATCACACTTCAGAGAGACGGGAATACCTTCTCTTAGAGGGAATCCAAAACCAGGAACACGACTGATGGCGAATGAAGGACTATCTGTAAATTGTAAAATAAAGTAGCGCGTTAAACAAGGAACGCATGCTCAAGACATCTCTTCACTTCTCAAAGCATTTGACCTCTACGAAAATTCTTCATTGTTGCACATGAGATATGCAGTAGACGTTCTCCAATTTAATGCATTTATTTTAACCATATATCTGGACAATGACTGTGATTTCTAAATGTGTCGATATTTCTGACTCAGAAACACTAACTACAATACATTTTACATCTTGAAATCTTGAAACTGTATATTTAAATACTTCTTAAAGGCAGCTATAAACTTAAACAAAGGCGGATCGATAACAAATATCTTCAATAAAGTTAAATAAGTCATGGATATTGTCAAGTGTCACAGTGACTAAAGACGGGGTACGGATAACGGTAATTGGATTTATTAACAACTTACAGGCTGTAACAACAAATAATTCCTATATATTGCTAATTTACACAATTTACAATCACGCCCCGCTTCTTCTCAGACCATTGTCACTAGTCTTCACGGATTTATAACACAGGAACTATAAACGTCTCCCTAAATCACGCACTCCCAATACTACTGCACTATAGCACACATAAAGTTTTCAATTGGCACGTTAAATCTTCGCAGGCTGACTTCCTGTACTCTTCTATACTCCTGAGGCTTATTGCTTGCTTGCTTATTCGCGTGCTTCTGCCGCTACTACTCACTCGTAACTCGTGATTGTCCTGAACAAATTCTTCACTCTTATCCATATAGCTGTGGAACGGACATAAACCTACAGCAAATACATGTCACGTGATCGCTATCCAGCCAGTCTATTGGTGCGTCGGTCGGATCTACAGAAAACACAGCTTCCTCTATTGTTGCGTGCTGGACCGTGTTTACAGAGCTGTTGCCTGGCAACGCGTTGATCAAATCCGTTACAATATTATAACAAAAAATCTTAGTTTTATTACGCTTAAAGAAAGAAAGGAAGGCTAAGAAGCCAACCAGTGGTTAGGGCAGAGTTTCTGTATTCAGTTTTCGTCTAGCCATTTTCATGATTTTCTTTATTTAAGGATTCTGTCACTATCGAGAATATGTGTATGTAGAGTCGGGTAAGAATCTTCATTAACGGGTTATTAAAAACCTGTTCTTATTGCACAGGTTTTTCTTTACCACCAAATATTATGAGAGTGTGAGGAGTTGGGGTTCTCATACCGGTGGTTATGAAGAGTTCTATCTTCTGGGATGTACCGCCGTGTAGTCCGTTGAAAGCTAACTTACGTTTCGCAGAAACATGTCGCCTTAATCTTCAGAGTAGAAGAAAAAACAAGCAAGAACTCAGCATGAAGCAGGTATGAAGCAGAGCCCATTAACTACTTCATGCTAGGTTATTGCTTTATTTAGTCTTCAACGATGAAGATGAAGGCCAAATGTTCAATTTCCAACTTACTACACGGTGTTAGTCCCAGAAGAGGGAACTCTTCAACATGGGAAAGGGAGAGACTGTGACTTGATTCAGGTAAATGTCACAACATTCAAATAGACAGGCTGAAAGAAAACAACGAAGTGTACCGAAATTGGTACCCGGGACTCCCTGAAAAAGGCGGGAGTGATAATTATTATATAACGTCTCTTCCTACATGAGTGTAGATTTGATGGTAAATTGCCTCGTAGAAAGAAAGAGAAAGAAGGCTGAACAAATTCGTAAAAAGCACAGCCCAGCCTCAGTCCTTACGTCTCATTTTCTACCAATCGATTATTTTGCTGGAGTGGTTACACTGCTAATAGGAGGGCCCGGTTGGAATTCTGTTCTCTAGGTCGGTTTTCATGGTTTATCTCGACGCATTCTGGAAGTGGCCGAGATAGTGCCTTAACTCCTCCTTCCACACTCTTTCCAACATATCATTCATAATAATCCTACCATTTCATGCTATATAAGCCCTAACCTGTTCAGTTTAGAACAAGAGTCGAGAGCATTCATCACATGTTCGAGTACACGTTACCAATGGCAGTTTTTGAAGTACATTAAGTTCATTACAGACTAGGAATAACCAAATAAAATTAGTGACAGTCTCCCATTTTGAATTTCAACAAAATTCGTAGACGGATTAATGGGATACACAAAAATGTCACTTATGGAATCTATGATTTTTGTGGGTTAATTTTGCTGTAACTCTGAATTCTCCTTTTCGTTTCAGACGAAGGCTCTCGAAAACAATTTCTGCAAAATCTCTCGAACGATATAAGGAAAACACTGAAGAGTAAATTTATGGTGTTATGAAAATAAGATTTCATTATGGATCAATATGGCTGAAATTCGGAATTACTCGACGATATTTAGTGAAAGCTTGCCACGTGGAATTTAAGGAGATTATGTTCAACGATTTAAGCGCTGAAACCAGGTCAGAGAGAGAGACACACACAGACAGATAGACATGAAGTGCTCCTTTCATTCATTTCCATAGTGTGTATCCTGCTGTTTGTCACAAACGCATGGGTAGGTAAGGTAGTCGACAACGCAACAACAAACATGGATTTTCACTCAATCAATGTTTCATAGATTGAATTTTCATTGCTTACTGCTACATGTTTCGGTCCTCATGGAACCATCATCAGGCAGTACCATATAATACGACTAAGGTTAATTGAATTTCCAATATGGATCCACATTTTGGTTCAACGCTTCCATATTATAAATGTTGTAGAAATTGTGCCCGGTGTTATTACCGTTATCAAAATATTATAAAAAATATATACGGATATGCATACAGTTGCCGTCTTGTAGTGCACTCAATTTCACCTGTTAATTCACGACATGTTTCGGCAACATAGTGCCATCATCAGGTGCCCTAATTACGCTAATCTATTTCATTACTTGCCTTTATAAAATTATTTAAAAAGTGCGTATTTGTCAACTATAATAAATTTACACACACTAAAATTGTTAAGATTATTCATCTTATGTGTCATAATTAAAACTTGCTTGTGGTTCTTCCACTATGGGGGTCGTTTTTCTTATATTCTGTGTAAACCGTGTCTTGTGATGTGTGTGTTCCCTTCTTAGCTGCGAGTGTTGCAGCTTTGTAAGGAAAGCATAAAGAAATGAAATTCTTACACTTAATTAAGCACCACAACAAGATGTATTAAGGAACAGCAGTATGCTTCCACCCATAATCAACATCGACATTAGATGAAGGCAGGTGGTCAGCTTCACGCCCCTGCCGCGTTACACCGCAAGAGACGACATAAGCTATCCATTGAATAGGGGTCTCTGGAAAGCCAGAGCTCGGGATAGCAGACAAATCTGTTGCCCTGCGAGTTCCAGGTTTCCCACTCAGTGAAGCAGTTGCTACACCGCCTGAGCTGCTCGGGGCCTTCCAAACCACAGAGTGTCGTTAATAGTGACTCAAGAATCAATCGATCATTGTGCACACATTCTCTGTCCTCACCACTCGTGAAGCACATCTGGTTGTCCTTCCTCTTTTTGTAGATGCTCATTCTCTGGGCATCGTTTTTATTCTCTTCTACGATTAGACCAAAACCAACCAAATAACTCATTTGAGCAGTAATTTCCTGTCTGTGTAAGGAACTAATGTTTGCTCAGTTTCTATAGAAATTTTATGGAAGCTAAGCCCTTCAAGAGTCCCTATTCATTCAGTTCATACCTCCAACATTTCATCTATTGCTTTAGCGTCTTTTCCTCATTTTAAAAAATTAAAGTAGGTTTGTAACATAACCGTGCTGTTTGTGCATGTCTATCCCCCTCAACTTCTGAATGGCGAAACTAATCTTTATGAAAGGTGGTGTGTGCGTAGTTGAACTTGGACCCATCTCAACAGTATACATCATATATATCTCTCATCAATCTGTGTGACTGTATATGTACCCACACATCGTCGCTCGGCAACGGCTTGGTAAAAACGTGACCGTGGCAACGAATACACACTCAAGAATAGAATAAATACTGGACACATGAAACATATCAAGAATTAAATCAGTTAATAAAATACAAAAATATAATCAATTTTATACGTGCACAAATTTCATTCCTCGACATATCAAACCTCTTTTCTGCCATAATTTTTACGATCCACATGTTGGATTTTCTTTTCTTTATTTTAGTACGCTCTACGTACTAGTTACTTTCATTTTCTGCAAAAGGAAGCTCAGAAACCAAGTCCATGCAGTGATTTCGGGTGGCTGGCGATCATACTCTTAGAACATGATGTGTCTTCTGGAAGTGACTCGGGTCGGTAACTGCGTATCAGAGAGCTCTGTGACCTCTCGTTTGAAAGCCTAAAGCCATATTACAGCTAGAACTGCAATACCCATTACAGGCTTATTTCCACCAGACCGTTTCAAAGCACTTTCATCCTGCATTGGTTTCAATTGAACGTGTGTTTGAACCAGGTGAAATTTATTGGAAGTGGGTGTGATCCACGGTGCAGTGCTGTAACACACTCTGTGACATCTAAACACTACTGGCATCCACCAAAGCAGTTAAAAGAGTTCCCTTCTCGCTCCATTGGCATAATCTTCACAATTAGAGCAGCGGGGATCGCAGGGAGGATGCACTGACTCATGCAGGGCCGAACATTATAAGTCGGAACATATGGCTTCGGGGACGGGAAACTTACAAAACAAATTTTAATTGTTGCTTAACTTCTCCCCCTCCGGCTTACACATAAACACTGAAGGGATGTTTATGCTCATTATGTAACTAAAAACGATAATGAATATATACGTGGTCCATTCGCAAAGTAACCTCCGATGAGCTGTTCTTCAGATACGTAAACAAGTGATGAACCCACCTGTTAAAGGTGCCTTCAAGAAGACGACCCAGCCACACATATCCTATGTGATTATGAGGCCATAGCTTAGTTAATATTTCGTTAACATTTGTGGAACCGATTGACTTTTATGACGCCCCCATAAATAAAGTCCTACACTGCATTCGTAGTGTAGGATTAATAAAGGGTTCATCCAAAGGGGAAGCACAACAGATCATTGAAGGTCGCAGTGCGAGGGC